ACGTCCAAAAAAAGAAAAAAAAATCTTAGTAAAAATCCTTCACAGCATTGAACAACAAAGGCAGAAAACATCCAGAAAATGAAGCTCTGATCAACAGATGAACTAAAAATTAGTTTTATTGACCAGTTAATATTTACATTTTATGATTAACTCGATTTCAAGTCAACAAACCATACGTAGAAAATATGTATGTGATGTATAAACTGAATCTAATCAATGTTTTGAACATATATGTATTTATTTAGATCATACTTCTGTGTAGGAGAGAACAGATGCCTGAAGCTTTCGCAGAGCAGCAACATCAACATAAGATGAGGCCATACAGTGAGCCATCCATCCCTCGGAGGGCTCAGTAAAGCTGGAAACCAGATCCATAGGCCTTTCTGACCTCATTCTGGATAAAGATCAGAAGTGGATTTAAATACAGCCACACAAAAACAGAGGCAATTACCAGAAACACCATTACTGAGATATGCGACTGATGAACATCCACATCAAGTCATGCTGAGCTGATAAGAGTGCATCTGATTGCTCACAGACTGCAGCACGGACTATGACTGCAGCAGCTTCTTGTTTTCAGAAGTGGGGCCTCATGGAGATCAGAAGGGGCTCCTGACTGAGCTGCAAAGAGCTGAGTGATATCCCCGTGACCACACATGGGGAGGATGTTCAGGACTCCTGCTTATTGCTGGGTTCTGTGCTCCTCATGGAGCGCTGGACTCCAGCAGATGACTGACACAGGTACTAACAGATGTCTACTTGTCAGGGTTTGGTTGAGGTTTTGAGGACCTAAATGCAGCAGCTGTGAAGCAGAGATTAGTTCTTGTAGTTTTAACGGAGTTTAAAACAGGTAACAGAGGCAGGAATCCAACACAAAATGCAAAACAATCTAGAACCATGGAGACATTAAGGAAAACATGCACAAGGAGCCGAGGAAAGACGAGGAACCAGCACTGAGGAACTGCAAAGGGAGAGTTTATATGGGAGACTAAACAAAGACAGGACTAATGAGCTGATTAGGAGCAGGTGTGAAGAGAGGATTCTCAACATATTCTCATTAT